AACATCATTCCTTCATATTCCATTTCCTATGTGGGACTAAACTTTCTCACTACAATGTCAAGTTTTAAGTTACACTTATTATAACTCCAACATTTTGGGCATTAGAAGTCTCTTTGTCTACAATAGCGTAAAGATTGATATTTGTACATCCCATATTACAAGTATGCTCCACCATGCACTTCAAATCATCATTGTTTTCAATGAGAAAGCTGAGATTGCATTGTCCTTTAGATTTATATTTCAAGAATAAAACATCATATGAGACTTTCAATCTCTCCGAAGCGTCAACCTTCAGCTCAAGAAAGGTCGTTGGTGATTTTATCTTCATGAAAACAGCCTCCTCGCCTAAACAAATCACACATAGGAGAGGTGTCTCCTCCATTTAGGGCCTGTTTGGTTATTTCCTAAAAAACCAAAAAATAGAAATGAAAACCAAGAAATCTCAAAAAGTACAATTTCACACATTTTCATCCATAAAACTCACCCACAACATCTAATAAAATATTATTTTTATCCAACAACTCATCCATCACATCTAATAAAATATTATTTTCATCCAACAACCCATCCATCACATCCACCACATCTAATAAAATATTATTTTCATCCACAACATCACTCAACTCATCTCATCTCATCTCATATTTAAAAATCACTCATATCATCCAATAAGATTGTGACAACTCATCTCATCTCATTAACATTTCATTTCTTTGTTTTCCTCCCAAAAAGCTAGGAAAACAATTTCCTTAAGTGTGAGTCACATCATCCAATAATATAATGATAACTTATCTCATCTCATCCATTTTCTTATTTTTAAGAAATAACCAAACAAAAGAAAACAACCTAATACAAGAAATAGGTTTCTTATAATTCATTTTCTTTTTTTTTCCGCCAACCAAACAACATCAAAACAAGTTTTCTTAAAAAATCACTCACATCATCCTATAATAAGGTGACAACTCATCTCATCTCATCTCCATTTCTTTGATTTCCTTCTTTTTTTTAGCCAACCAAACAATCCCAAAACCAATTTTTCTTAGAAATAGGTTTTCTTTTCTTTGATTTCCCTCTTTTTTTGGGCAAACAAACAGCCCCTTATGAAGGAGAGTAAATGAGAGAATTATATGACCTATTAAGTGCTTGAACACGTGAAGATCCCTTCTTTAATAAGATATCAAAATGGGGAGCAATAATGGAGGGAAGGACCATAAATTCCCTCCTAAATCCATCCCTGTTGAGAGCTCCATCACATTAAATGCGATTGAGATGCGCTGCATACGGAAAAGCGGGGGCAAATCCGAGGGGTAAGTGGGGGTTTTGTTTACTGATGAGGTAGAGGGCCTGGGCACATTACATTTTCATATTTGGGGCCTAGTGACAAGCCTAGAATTGGGCTGGGTGACACATTGTTTAGGGCCTTAACATATTTTTATCCGTCTTATGATATTAAATTGGGCTTTCTTGTTGTCCAGTCCAGAACCGAGGTAGGCCTAATATTTTGGCCCTAAACAGTTGATTGATATTAAATGGGCACCAGTATCTGCCCATTCTCGCAAAATCAATGGGCTTCCTCAGGTGTTAAGACAAGTTTTAGATATAAAATTGGATGGGCTTAGCGGGTACCGGGTGCACGGACAAGGCCGAAATCGCTACATATATTATCTCCGCCTCCATTTCGACGAGGAGAGGATTTTCCAAGAGATCGCCGTAATCTAAAGCTCTTAAAACCCTAGAACGCGCCGCCATGATTTACGACGTGAATTCCCCCCTCTTCCGCTCGTTCCTCAGCCAGAAGGGCGGGCCCTCCGACAAGAGGTGAAACCCTCTCCCTTTTCTCTCAGACCATCTTATTAGGGTTGCATCAGTCTTTTTTTTTTCCTTTTAAATTTTTTTATTTTTATTTTTATTTTTTTTAGTTTTATGCGTGATTTCTTGATTGAAGGGCGATCTACAGATTCTTATTGTGATTACGTTTCGATTATCAGCAGTGAATAAGGGGAAAAAGTTATGTTTTTTGGGGGTGTTTAAGAGTTAATCTGATGGATATTATCTTAGTTTGTATTTAGTTTTATAATATTGCAATAAAGGGGTATAGAATTTAGTTAATGGAGTCCGAATGCCAACCAGTACTGCATAGAACAATTTTTCAAAACAGCCCCATTTCATTTTTTTATTTTTAAAATCGACCCATTTTTTTATTTACCAAAACCGACCCGTTTTTTGCCACACGTCAGCCTAATCACCCTCCTAAACAGTCGAGGTTACCAACCCTGACTATTTAGGATATAAAATTTTAGGGTTTAAGGCTTCTAATTGGGGTTTAACACCCTCCTAAATATTCGGGGTTGACAACCCCGACTGTTTAGGAGGGTGATTAGGCTGACGTGGCAAAAAACGGGTCTGTTTTGGTAAATAAAAAAAATGGGTCGATTTAAAAAAAAATATGAAATGGGGCTATTTTGAAAAATTGTTCGTACTGCGTATCTTAGTTTGAAAGAAATTGCTTAAGATTTCATCAGAACGTGGTAGATGGATTTGTTTATATGATTTTGGATGAGAAAATAAGTTTCTGAATATTGAATTGAATTGTTATGTAGTGTGAATGATTTGAAATAATGAGTAGATTTACTGTGGTCGAGGTATAAATATGTTGTGGGAGATTACATTTCAGCCATATGGATTTTTATTCCAATATTTTCGTGGAGTGCCCAGAGGTCTAACATGTTTTTGGAAGAGAGACGGGATGGGATAGCTTCGATTTTCTTGAGCATGAAATGGAATGTGAGTCAGCTTGTTATGTAACTTGGAATTCTAGGAATCGAAGTCTGTGTAATATATATGCAAGGCTTATTAAGTGAATCGATATGCAGTACTGGTTGGCGTACATCACTGTCGTGATGTTAATCTTTAAGTATTAGTATGACAATTGCTTCATGTATGAGGCATGCTTTTCTAAAAGTGCATATTGTTGTTTGAGTTCCACCTTATCTGCATCTGTATTGTATTATATTATTACATAATCACAATATATTAATCTTAACTTAAGATAAACACACTGCTTTTATACGACTCATTAAAAACTATTGATTTTTGTAATCTCTACTAGTCACCACGTGCATAATATACATGTCGAAAAATTTGAATCTTATTTAACCTTATTGAACATCTTTTTTTCTGTAAATTCTTTAATAACCTCCATGAATATTATCCTAGGTAAGGTCTTTCATTATATTTGAATTAATTGTCTATCTGTAATTTTTTTGCTATTTTGAGAGACCATCTAATCTCCATTTAGTAAAAAACTATTACATTCCCGACTCGCAACTAGGATCTAACTAATGCATAAAATTTCTTTTTTCCATATCCTACTTTATAACAAGTAAAGATAAGCATGGAGCACTATATAATTGTGCCTGTTTATTCTTTGCTGCAAACATGATCACTCAAAAACTTATTTTGAATTAAAAAAATAACGAAATACACTTCTAATCATTTTATTCATATATATAAGTTTGGATCTGCAGTAATGCTGCAATAACATATTTAAAACACAAACGATGTACTGACTTTTAGTAAGTTTGTGAAATCTTGAAGAATGTGGCACCTGTAAAGGTGCATTCTAATAGTAAATCAATTTGAAAATTCAATAATCAAAATAGTCTATAGAACTATGATCTATAGATCCTATACTAAATAAAACTTCATTTGAAGAAAATGTATGCAACTAGAGTGCACTCTTACTACATTTTCAAAAATATAAATTACTTTACAATCCATTTGTACCTATATATCAGCAACCAGAAAGCTAAATAGAACTCCATCCTCACAACATAGGCAACTTGACTATATATAATTTCATAATGTATTTTTCAAAAAAAATAAAAAATAAAAAAATAAATTCCTTTACATGTTAATTATGTTGTCATGTTTTCCAACAACCCTGAATTTTCAGTTGATCTTGTTTCCTCTTGTATATTGATAAATGACGATGCTTTATATTTGTATCTAGCATTAGATCTACTTTTTTTTGAGTTATGTTCGTTTTTATTTGCACTCAATCAATGCAGTAATAACTCAATTTTCGTAATAAAAACTCTTAACACCAGGCTATGCGATCGTAAATAAGTCCATGTAGTTAGTTTATCATAGTATGCATCTATTATGCACGGATACGGATACGTGACAGGGATACGACACGGACACGGATACGGGATACGATAAAATCCAAAAAAATAGGATACGGGGATACGGCAAGGAAATTTTTTAAATTATTATTATATATAGAAAAATTTATAAAATTCAACTAACAATCTAAAATATAAATCTATCACAAAATAACAATCTAAAATATATTATTTGTAACTTTCTCCATCAGATTTATGATCCATCAGATTTATGATAATAATGACGCTAGGCTGCTGCTCGAATTCAAAAACCGGAGGTTTTGATGATGAAAGTGGTGGTAATTGTGCTGGACGGGGAGGAGGAATGGAGAGTGGACTCGAGGAGTCGGAGGAAGGAGGAGTCGGTCAGCGGGATCGGGTCGGAACAGCGGAGCAGTCGGCGGGATCGGGTCGGAACAACGGAGGTGATCGAATTGAACGGGAGTGAGCTGAGAGATTGAGAGAGAGGATTAGAGTTTTTTCTTTTTTTCTTTCGTTTGAGAAAGCTGAGGATTGAATCGAACGGGAGATTTGAGAAATAAGGATGGGTTTTTTAATCGAACGGTTCGGGTTGGATTTTAACAACCAAACACAACCCGCAACCCGAATGAATCGGCCTTCGGTGAATCCGAGCCGTGTCCGAGCTCCTTTGACCGTGTCCGAGCCTAATTTGACCGTTGACCAGTGTCGGACACGGATTGACCGTGTCCGACACGTGTCGTGCACGTGTCATGATGAATTCGTGTCTGATTTGAGTCGGACACGGATTCGTGGCCTCCGGGGGCGAATCCGTGCTTTAGAGGTATGCATTTATACTTGCATATTTCATTCTTATTTGCTTTCCAAGCCTGAACATATCTGTTCGAAATTGTTTTACAACTGTATTTTATATACTTATAATATTTATAAATTTAAATATAATATTGTTTATTTATGAGGCTTATGCCTCGTGTCTTGAAGCTTACCTTCATAAAAGAGGGCAATGGTTTGCCTTGCGTTTCCACTTTTTTAACATTGTTACGAAGATGGGATACAAATATGAGGGATATGCAAATATGGGATACAAATATGAGGGATATATGAATATGGGAACTACTAAAAGTGACATTATTTGATACAACATGACTGTGGGCATGGGTGCGGTTGCTCGTGTATGTCCTAAGTCAGTTTGTAAATCATGTAGATGCATCCCTAACTCAAATTGAGTTGTGAAAACTAGTATTAGTGCCTTCTTAATGTTAATTAGTAACATGTCTTAAGTTGTAACAGCCACTATCCACATTATAATGCCTATAATCTATAGAATTCGTTTCTCATAAAACCCGAACATGAATCACCCATGTAGGTCCATCTTGCTGTATTTTGTCTGTCTCCCATATTTTTAGTGGGAATTATATTTTGATCCAATTGAGGAAATTACCCTCACTTTTTTTCTTCCAATTTTCTGAAAATTATCCATAAATTTTTTTTGGAAAATAGGTCTGGAACCTGCCCAGACTTTAGTATTATATAAACAAAGTCTTGGAATTCAAACCCTAGGGTTTTTCTATTGCTTTGGGCATCAATATTATTCCTAAGGCATTTCTATGAACTTCGATAATTAGAATCTCAATCAAATCATGTCCTTGAAGATCAGGAATCAATCCAGTGAAACTACTGTTTTGATCACTTTACCATAATTTTGTAAGTACTTTTCTCCTTGTAAACTATTTCCATCAAGTGTTATATTTATGAAATCTTAAATAAATGTTTTCCTACTATCTAGGATGTGTTTCTCTGATATGCAGTAGCTTGATTTTGCAAGTTTCTTTTAACATTTTCCCATGAACACTAGCACATCTAGGAATTGAGGGGTTACTTGCATGAAAGTTATGAAGGTTAAACATGCTTGCAAAATTATTTATAAGCAAACATTTGTACATCAAGAGAAATAAATCATATATTGGAAGGAAAACATTTCTTGAAGATTTCTAAAACAAATTTCTTAGTAGAAAAGCTGCAAAATTATGGTGAAGAGGTCAAACACTTGCCTGTTACTCGATCAATCATCTATCTCGAGGTTAATCATCCAAGTGTATGGAGATGCCCTAGGGAGTAATGTTTTCGTTCGTAATAAAAGAAAACCTTACCATTCAGATTTCTAGCCTTAGATTTAGAATACTAAATGTGGAGTTTGGTTAAGTTCAATACCTTTCCTGTATAGCCATATCACAACTAGAGTTTTGACCTGGATAAATTCCAGAAAATAATGAGATTATCAATTCTTTCAACCGGAGCAAAGTCTGATTTCTACTAAAAATAGAAAAATAGGCTCAATAAAGTATGTTGGACCCTATTTGGATGGCCAATGATTCTATTTTGTGGCAAGTGAATCCTCTAGGTATAAGCATGGCAATGCTGGTAGTGGCCCTTACACTAATACATTTGTGATTTTTGGATGTGCTGAAGTATTTTAATACGTTGCACTATTATATTCATTTTGTCTGATTTCCTTAATTCATTTGATCATCTGTACTGTACTGTTTAATTATTGTTCCAATATGAAGTATATGAACACATATATGGGGCAGCTCCCCACCTGCAAGACCCAAACCCCCTCTCAGAAAAGGGGAAGCTCCCCACCTGCAACACCCAAACCCCCTCCCAGAAAAGGTGAAAAAAAAACATGCTTAAACACACAATGACAAACGTGCAGGCTGCTTAGACATAAATTTAAGGTTTTTTTTTTGGATGGGCTGAAGTATTTCAATACATTACACTGTTATATAATCTGTTATAGAAATTCAGCCAGATTTCCTTGGTCCTTTTGATTCTCTGTGCGGTATTGTTCCAGTAGGAAGTAGGCCAATAAACACAAATATGGGTCAGTTACCCCTCTGCAGTGTCAACATCTAAAGACATCCTACTGACCCGCACCCAACAAGCATGAAAAGAGGGAAAAAAGAGTCGACTGCTTGAATAACTGAGTCATTCTTATACGTTTTAAATTATGATCTTCCCTCTAAATAGTGTATCCGAGTCTGGCTCTTCCGTAAAGGTGCATGGAGGTAATGATGCATTTTCTTTTTCAGGTGAAATGAGTCCATCTGATATTCTTGCATCAGCTCTATTAGGTCTGTAGTTTGCATAGAGCAGTACCCCTGATGTTAGCAATGGGAGTTACAGGAGTCCTTGCATGTTTCCTGTCATATGTATGGGAGGCAAGTGGTTGCACATCTGATTATAGGTGGATGATGCGGGTTGATTGTTGTTTTGCAATTCGATTAGTGGTCTAGGTTGCTGTATTTTTTTCTCTCATTTTTTTGTTGTGGATTTCTTGATTTTCTGCAAACATTACCTTTCAAAGTTTTATGATAGGGCAGCATCTTCAACTTAAATTTAGAGGCTTAAAAGGGTACCAAGTAGCTGTGTGAATCTTCAGAAGTTTGCTTCTATGTCATGTGTGGATTGTCGTTAAATGTCCAGCTATGTCCAGAAATATTGTTAATGAATGTCAAACTGAATTGCTATTCAATATGTTGCTTTCCCTCAACTTAAAATAGGATTTTTTTTCATGGTTTGCGAGGGAACTGCCCCCATGATCCTTAGGACCGTGGGTATCAAACCTTGATATCTGGATACGAAACTATGTTATTAAACTGGTATCTGGATTTGTAAGCAATGATATTGAGCGAGTACATTATTGTTTATGTGACTAGGTAATTTTCTATTATTTGACTTGATACTTTCTGCCGCAAGCAGGAAATCTGAAGAACAAAGGCCAAAGGAGCAGAAGCCAAAAGCAAGTGAGAACAAACCCGTGATGAATGAATGAGACTATTTTGAGAAATGCTTGAGTAAGGCTTTGAATTTCCCGCAGACTTGCGAGTAATCTGTTTGGGTGATGAACTATAGATTTGTTAACCGTTTGCTGTAACTTCTGTTAACGCTTTATGCTGTTGTTTTAGTTGAAACCAATGGACCACCCTATGATGCTTTAGGGCATTGTTTCAGCGCTTTAATGTCGTCTGTTAGCTATAGATATTTGTTAAAAAAAGGGTTAAATTCTCCAAAAAATGAATCCATATATGCAACATACTTAAAACTGATGGTGATGCAGAAGACGTGAGACCCGTGATTATTTCTTTTAATTGCTGAATTAGTATAAACTGAATTGGTTTTTCTTTTTTTATATTATTATCTGTATATAGTTTAGCCGATCGCTACACATAATATAAGATACGAAGACAATAGACAATGGGAATTATGAAATGAACCCAATGAGGCACTTGTACTGTTAACGATTGAGAAAAATGATACCTACTATTTGATTAATCGGGGTGTCACATAAAGTATACGTGGGGGATTATCTTTAACTACTATTTCTTTCTTTTTATTTTTTAACCGATCCAAAGTTTTTCGTTGGCTATATTTAGTCATCAAATCTATATATAATAAATATATATATTATATATAGTATATATATATAATATATATATATATATATTATATATAATTATATTATATATAATATATATATATATTCAAGACTCTACAGTTCAGTTAACATTCAATATAATTGTTTTTGAATTTAAGAATTATTTTGGAGGTGGGTACGTATAAAAATGAACTGAGATAAAACTTTTAATTTATGAAGAAAACCCTATCTTTAATATCTGCTACAATATGAACCCACACGGGTGACCCAAAATAGTTTGGAGTTTTAATATGGCTCCCATCGGTTTTGGGTTATATGGGGGGTGGTGTGGGGGGGGGGGGGGGGGGGGGGATCAGAGATAGAGAGTTCACTTTTATGAAAAATTGTTAGTTGTTAGGAATGAAGTATCAAATTTAGAAAATTGAAAGAAAGATAAAATGACAATTTACACCTAAAGTATTGTTAAAATCTCAAGTGAGCCCCAAAATATCAATAGTATTTTTCCCTTCTTAAACTATGTATCTATGACTAATGTGATCATTTTGTGAGTCTAAACTTAAGTATTTAACATATTAATGACATGATAGTGTTTTTTTTGCATTTCTTGTATTTTTGCAATTTTAAAAAAATATTTTTATTTTATAAAAAGAGTTTTTTATAAAGCAGTTAAAAAAATGTTTTTTAGATGGAGAGAAAAGTGGACAAACTAATAAAAACTTATGAAGAAATACAAAAATAAATGTCACATCATTGATCTGTTTAAATATTTTAGTGTTCGCTCGAATGGTGAGCACATTCAGCACCTATACATAGTTTAAAGTGTGAATAAGTAAAGTAATACTTTAGAGGGCAACTTGAGACTACACCAATATTTTTAAGGGGCTAACGATCATTTTGTCTTTGAAAGAATTTACATTTTTTACATTCTTTTCCTCATTCAAGGGAAGAGATCCTCCGATCTTGTTGCCTCGTTCAACGCACATACACTCTATAAACCCTTTCATAGTCAAGCTTACGAATTACCTATTTAGAACAACTATTTATAATATTTTATATTATTGTGAAAAATATATTCTCTACAATGTTTTTATCTAGGGTTTTTTTCTCCAATATATGCCCCTCAAATTATAGGTATTATTAAGTTTTCTACCCAGTAATTCTAAATTTACTGATTAAATTCCTTCATTCCCTCAAATTTGGCCTCATCCCAACTTCTATCGAATCTTAAATGATTTTTAGGCTAAACTAACATATTTAACCCACTTTAAATTGTTTAAAAAAAATTAGCAGAAGCAGGAAAACAAAATGAGGATTGTTTGGGCGCCCAAAAAAAGAGATTTTATTTAATTTTTAATTATTTTTATTTAAATGATAAAATCATACTTTTCCTACTATCTTCTTCTTCACCACTCTAGACTCAAAAAATTCACAATTATTTTTGGAAAAATAGAAATGCAGGGAGAATCAAATTGCCGTAGATGTATTTTCTAATTATTAAACTTGTAGATAATTTAGTTTGATGGATGATCTCAAGTGGTTTTAGGGTTCCAAGGTGCTATACCCTGAAAATCATTACATCTTTAAACTATACATGTGACGTAAGTGATGGGACTGGATAGATGATCGAAGCAAATTCGAGCTATCAGCTTATTGATTCGTCTACGCAAGCGGGTCCAGGACGAAAGGCACCTTGAAGTGGGTCTCTGAAGTAGCACCCGAGTCGAATTAAAGAGCGTATTCAAGGTGGGGACAAAGAATGACTGAAAACCTCATCAACAATTTTTGCATTTAATAGTGAATAGTTCAGCGCCCATACTCTGCCATGTAGTCACCATTGCATTTAATGCATGGCCACGCATCTTGGTGGCTCTCCCGCAACGGCGCCTACCATCCTGCCATTCTATCGCCATCGCATTAATATTGTGAGTACAGTTCTCTACCTCTGATCAATTTTCTGCGGACACATGTGAAGTGACGGCACAATGACAGATCAACCAACCAGTTAAATTACCAAAATATTCTCAATAACTTCCTATAAATATCATTAATTTTGCTATTCAAAGGTATGCACAAGAAACCCTGTAGACTACATTCTGCTTTTTTCTTTAGATTAATAGATTAAGCATTGACTTGTGCATCGGAAGGCACACTGGAGGAACTAACCTTCGGGGGCCTCTAACCTTTGTTATTCTGCGCAGGTTATTCTAACACCATATAATCTTCAAGACCATCAGCCATTAGAGGAGATTAAGAGACCCTAAGATCATCCTTACGTCTCCTAAACTAATCACTAACTTTCTCACATTAATAGTTTGGAGCCCATTGTGGGGCCATTTCTTCTTCCCTTGAGATAATAGCTGATCCTAATAGACTATACATTCCAGACTTCACTCAAGGGGAATCTTTTGGTTTCAGCTATGCCACTACGGCCCAGTTGGTCGAAACCTCATAGAGGATATCGATGTCGCTTTAGCAATGGTTCGCTTCCTTCGCGAATGAGTTTCTCAGTCATTTCTAACCCCTTTCCCCGTCTCTTGTCACCCCGTTCCCAGAAAGTAGCTTCCGCAATGAGAAGATCGGGCCAGGGAGACGACCCCTCAATAACAACAGCATATGACCCGCTTCACAGTTAATCTGCAACATATCCACCAACCTCAGATTCCTCAATATCAGATTCGTCAATATCAGACTCCTATATATTAAGGCGTGCTGTGTGAAAGCTCCAGCCGAGATCCTCATCGTACTACTCTCCATCGGTTGCAAGGCATACAATACACTTACGCGGACCCATTGGTAGCCAACCAAACCTCGCGTAGGATAGAACTTTCAACATGGAGGCCAACACCATTGGGGGAAACACCCCCTTATCTGATGAGATCATGAGCGCTTCTTGCCCCTAGTTCAAAATATCCAACATTGAGAAATACAAGGTAGAAAGCGACGTGGCCAAACATGCGCAAAACTTCTTTGATCTACTGAGCATGTAGCATGTATTTGAGCTAGTCATGTGCAGAGCTTTCCCAGTCATGCTCAGCGGTGTGACCAAGATGTAGTGAACTCTTTACCAAAAACATCCATCAACAGTTATGAGCAGCTCACCCAAAAGTTCGCCCACTATTTCCTAGAGGACATAAAGAAGAAAACATCCTCCTCTCTCCTATTGCAAATTCATAAAAAACCAGGCAAGATTCTTAGGGACTTCTTAAAGAGATTCCAGGCCAAGTAGCTAGAAGTAGAAGATCCCGGTAACAAGGTGGCTGTGGCCACGATTTTTGCAGGATTGTACAACGAGAAACTAGCTGACTCACTCATCATCAACCCCGTCACTAACTTTGACCAGCTCATGGCTCGGGCTAGGGCCTACATGGATGCTAAAGACAATTGACTGGTGGCTCAAGTAGAAGCCTCGAAGGCTGAGTCCTCAAAAAACAAGAAGCTCGAACCTGATCGACCCGTGTCAAATTCCAGATCGGGTCAGCAAGATAGGAGAAACCAGAGGAGAGATGCGGTGAAGCCAGCCGTCTTTGCCCCCTTCAATGCTCCTCTATCAAAGATACCGTACTAGATATAGTAGAAGGGACACCTTACCAAGGTTCCCCCATGCATGATTTCCAGCCCTCAAAGGAGGAATTCTCAGTAATACTGCCAATATCATGAAGGTCACAACCACGACACCGACAATTGCAAGATCCTAAAGAGGGACATTGAGGTCCTCATTAGTAGAGGGTTATTGAAGAACTCCATCAACAATCATGGCAAAGAGCGGTCTGACCAGGAAAGGCTCGAGAGAAGAAGATTGAGGCCACCCCAACCAGATCGGTGCCAGAGCTAGCCTAGGGAGGCCGGCGATAGGGGTACAATCAACACCATTAGTGGAGGCCCCATCATAGGAGGAATGTCAAATAATGCTCAGAAGAAATATGCTCGCCATTCCCTCATAGTGAACATATGCGAGAACATATTCGTAATGACCCCTCACAATGACCCAATCATCATCAATGCCCAAATCAACAGGTTTTGGGTCATAAGATCATGGTGGACACTGGGATATTGTTAGACGTCCTACTCATAGATACATTTAGACAGATGAACATCAGTAGATTATAACTACAGCCATGCCCGAGCCCCTTCGTCGGCTTCTCAGGGCATTCCGTCCAACCCGAGGGAGTGGTCACACTATCCATAGTCATCGATGAGTACCCTTGCCAGTTCACCATCCAAGTCGAATTTATTCATTGATGTGAAGTCGACCTATAATGTTATCTTGGAAAGATCATCCCTTAATTATCTCTAGGTTGTTACCCTCCACATACCATCAGACGGTGAAGTTCTCAAGCCTCGAGGTAATCAGCATAGTTCAGAGTAACCAGTAGAAGCCCCTCATGTTACACGCTCTCCATATAGGGTAACAGAGTCTCAAAAACCTTGTCGATTGAAAAATCCTAAGTGTACCTATAATAGGATGAAGAAAAGTAAAGTAAAACTCCTATTGAGAATCTACACAAAATTCTACTCGGCACAGATGAAGCCAAGAAATTCCAAATCGGATCAAAATTGTCTAAGCCATTGCGAGGGGCGCTCGTT